TTTTAATCCCTATATCTTTGCAACCCAATTTTGTAGACCTGAGATATTTCAAACTATGAATTTTTTTAGATTTAATAATCTTAAGTTTTAAATATTAAATGTCAACACCATAAGGTTCCACAGATATGGGGATAAGAAAATTTGAGTTTGTGGCAAAGGCTCAATTCCTTTGCATATCAAATTAGTGCATTTTTAAACTATGAATTCTTTTACATCAAATAATCCAAGTTTGAATTATCTTAGGTTTAAAAAGATTTAGGGATTAGAAAATGATTTTGTTGCAAAGAATCAATTCCTTGTTAAAATTTAGCGTAAGATGTTTTCCTTGTATAAGTCAAATCTGATCAATTGTGGGAATTTGAAACATGATTATTCTTTTTTTAATCAAAACTAAATCTTTAAAAATCTTAAAGAACTTTATTCTTAAATTTAACCATCAGCAAAAATTGATAAATGGACGAATGTATCTTGAGAAGAAAAAACTAGAACAAAATTGTTATCATCCCATTTTTTTTATCTAAAGGACTTTACACTCTGAATCAAATATCATTTCGTAAATATAAAAAAAAAAATATAAAGTCGCTTTCAAAGTCTCTTCTCTTTTTGGTATCCCAATTTACTTAAGAGTTAAAAGGACTGTCTTCCTTTACTGAAAAGGGAAGTGTGTGATTTCAAGTTAAATTAAATTTAAAGAGGGATTCAGAACAATACCACCTTTAATAAATCAATAATGTGGGAGATATTATAACGTGAAACCCTTATCAAAGAATACATCGGAAGAATTTTTCAAATGTCGTCTTGACAATTTTTCAATGAGTTTTATACTATATTACGTAAATTTCAGTATTTGCGAAAATAAATAAATAGCCATGAATATGTCGGAACAGTTTTAAAGAGTTCCATATAATCATTTAGTTAAAAAACTAAATATCTGCAGTATTCCATTATCAGAAAGTGAAGAATACGACATTTTATGAACTCTTTCGATGTATTCGTTATTAAGGGTTTCACTGTATTGTGTTTTTTTCTTTCTTTGGAGTGTCACTTATAATTACGTGTATAGTCCCTTAAAGGAAAATGCGTTCAATGCATTTATTGCATTCAAGCAGTTTAATCAGCCTGATCGCCCCTAGGGGGACAGAGCTTATAGGTTTGAAGATTAATCTGTTCTCTGTTAGTGCAAGTTATACATTTATCCCTTGTCAGGGTACTTTAAGGTTTGAACTCTAAAAGTTGCCATTTTAAATTTAAATATTCGCAGATTTTAAATTTAAATATTCGCAGATTTTAAATTTAAATATTTGCAGATTTTAAATTTAAATATTCGCAGATTTCTCTCATGAAGTTTCGTGTACACTATTATTTTTGGGAGTGGACTTTCATGCACCAGAGCCTCAGAGATGTTTGTAAATTAGTCATAGTTCTTAAAAAATGTAATATCTGTTTCAGGCATGAAATGATTCTGAGCAAAATCGAAGAATTGAAGAACGGAATTAGCAAGCAATCATCAGGAATAAAAATTATAAAAACTAGAATTTTTTTAAATTATGAATTTTTTTATAAATTATTTCAATTTTATCATGAAATGCTTTAATTTAATGGTGGAAAAGGAGGTCATGAGCGTTTTTGAAATTTAGTTTGATTTGAAATGTTTCTTATAATTTATTTAGAATCTGAGAGAAGGAAAACTGAACTTCTTCTCACTTTACTTCAGGTTATTTTTCTTATTTTTTTCATGCCTAGGGTTGGATACTGGGTACAGGGCGGTAAAAAGTCCAGTTCGTGTAAAATAAAAACTCTAAAATAGCTTATAACCTTTTTGTGACTAAAGCTAGAGATCTGAAAACTCATGTTTGAAAAACCTTAAAAAATTAATTTTGAAGCACGTGTCATATCTTAATATTTGTTTGAAAAAAATCCTTAGCACCCAAACTAATTGTTAGCGGTCCGATTTTTTTCAATGAGCTGGCCTTGAAAAATTGCCATTGACTGAAGTTCTGGTGACGTAATTTACGGACTATACGGACTATATGTATAATATTATCAATTATATCTATTAAAATGCAAAATGAAAATTAAAAAATTATAATATGTATAAACCTGAGAGTCTCGGGTTTTTGTGGGATATCGTCGTTTTCAGATTGGTTGCGTATTTGTTGAATATGATCTCTTTAATACTACAACTTTTACACAAAATTGCATATATATATGAATTTTAGTATAACTTTCATATAACTATAAGTTCCCGCATATTCATGGCTATTTATTTATTTTCGCAAATATTGAGATTTACGTAAACTACTAGGTGTCCCATGAAACATGACAGTATGCAAGACGACTTGAATGTCGTCTTGATTTTTTGATATATTTTGCTGCATTTATTTGTCAACCTAACTTTAGAAGTAAATTACTAGAGATAATAATCACAAAATTCCCCTAGTCCTGTCATTTTGAAAATGTGGTCTGCCTTTTTTGTGCTTTCAATATTGCCCGAGATATGAAGAATTTCGTTCAGATTTCGACAATTTTGCCCCCCCCTCCCGACAAAGTATATTTGTATTTAAAATATTTTTAACTCAATTTATTTTGTTGAGCAGGCAAAACAGCAAGCTGATTAGAAGACCTGTCAGTCTTAACACGAGCAGCTCTAGTTTCAACATAAACAGCAGCCTTAGTTTGATGAACAGCGCTCATGGCTTGAACAACAGTTATGGTGTTTGTAGGAGCAGCATGAAATCCTCTGGTAGCGGGGATAAAATTATTCAAAAACCAACTGGTCATAAACTTACAGTAAGTAGTTTTATGGTTTCATTTCAAAAATTCCATATAGATCCAGACTCCTATAGAAAAGGTGCATACATTTTTATGACTGTTTTAACTTTTAAGTGTTGCCACTCCTTGTTCTTTCGTTTTACCTAGCTTACTCAATCCTACTTTTTTTACTTTTTTTTTAGAAACATAAATAATTTGATTTGATTTTTATCCATTTGGATTGGCAAAATTCTTCATAGTTTTTGCGTAAGAGCTCAAAACTAACTGAATTACTGTGATTCCTTTCTTTATTTAAGCTCAACAATTTGTTCAGCCTGATATCGAAACTTTTGAACTGTGTGCCCCTACAGAACTATAGTTTCAGTAGAAGTAAATATTTCCATTTACTGAGAGCGCCAATTGAAGGATTCATCATATCTCTGCTTGGATAATGAGATAGATAGAAAAATAGATGCTACCGCTAAACTATTTCTATTGGTTCAGAATAGACAACAAACACATGACTGAACCCTGATTGAATCAGGCGCTAATGTACTCAGCATAGGAGTGACAAAATATAGTATTTGTTGTGGTCAACCACATTACAACCCAAATGTTTACGCTCTTACGCAAATGGCAAGCAGTATTTTGCAAATAACTCCTTTTAAACTTAAGCTAGAAAAAAGTGCGTTCCATTTTTAAAATGTACATGTCTAGGGCTAAACAAAATTATAAGTATGTATGTGAAACAAAACCAAAGGCCAAGGTGTTACGACACTTTAAAGTCTAGGCTGTCTAAAAATTTGATGACTAACTTTTAGAGTTCTCTAGATCAAAATAACTTTCTTTGGATTTCTCTAAAGTCCTTCTTCTCAGAAGTCACACCAAGAAAGGTTTCAGGCAATTAGAGATTGCAATAATTAGATTTTAATAATCATCTAACCGGTTCGAATTAAAAGTTTCTGCTTGGATATTAAGTTTAGTAAAAAGAATTCTTACATATTAATCAACTTATAATATGTTTCTCCCGTTTAAAAGTTTGATTATTTTTCAGATACAATTTGTCATTAATTAACAATACCAATGACTCTTTTCTGCATTTATTTAACTCAATCAGAAATCCATGAATCAATTTTAAAATTAAACAGAGAATTAAAAAAGTTGATATTCAGGTCTAAATCTGATACAATTGAGTTGTTCTTGAAATTTCTCTCCTAATCCCTATTATATGCGCATACCTGCAGTAATCAGCTACAATTAATGTATAGGCAATCATACACATATTATACTTTTACTTATTTTACAGTTATACGCTTGTAGCATGTCAATTTAGTATTCATGTAACACCGTGTCCTTGGACTTTTTATTCAATGTAAATATTTACGCATTTTATCTACTCTGTATTGTATACAATTAGATAATACGCACAATTTGTTAAACTTAAGTTATTTATTAACTGCAAATACCCGGCCAACAAATCCAAATATTTAATGAATTTTTTTAATACAGAGAGAGGGGTCCATGAAACTGATTGTGCATTGCACACCCATTTCATTTCAAACATTTATTTTAAAGCTAAACTGGTTAAACAAAAATATTTTCTTTATTCTGACATTTAATATATATCGTACTTAAACGTCGTCTTGCTATTCCAAAAAAATTGAATAGTGATGACTTTTTTTCTGAAAAAAAGATTTCGTAATATATTTATATCACATAAAAGATCAATGAAATATTCTGGTCATAGGAAACTATTATGTAAATTATCAAAATTATCAAAATTTAATGCTTTTAACCTCCTCGGATACTAAACGAACAGTGATGCATCTATTATTGTTTACAAATTCCGCCCAAAGAGAACTGGTTTTAATGTGTACGCAGAGTATACACGACCGCAATTAACTTTCCTTGCATTACACCCTTGAACAGAAGAACCTTTTTTTCACACCTATTTAATAACCCGGACAATACGTGTAGCAAGTCACTCCCTTTATTGTTTACAAATTCCCCCCAAATAGAACTGGTTTTAATGTGTACGCAGAGTATACACGACCGCAATTAACTTTCCTTGCCTTACACCCTTGAACAGAAGAACCTTTGTTTCACAATTATTTCATAACCCGGACAATACATGTAGCAGGTCACTCCTTTTATGCTTTTGAAATCCTTTTTACCTTTTCAAATAGTTTTCTAATATCTTGTTTTCAAATAGTTTTCTAATATCTTGTTTTCAAATATTTCTTTTTTAGAGAATACCTACACCCTGGCTCAACCAGTAAACAAACACCGGAACAAATGGAGTACAGGTTGAAATATGCTTTTTAGATATCTTTATTTAGTATGCAATTAAATCGAATTTTTCAACAAAATTCACACAAAAAAATATAATTTTAAGCCAAAAACTAAATTTTCAGGGGTCTCTGGTCGGAAAAATAAACAGAGTCTTTGACACAAACTCAAATTATCTACTCCCTTTGGCAACCTTATGGTGTAAACCTTTTATATATGTCAAACTTAGATTATATCATCTAACAATATTCATTGTTTGAAATATCTACGGTGTAAGACTTTGGGTAGCAAAGACATTGGGATATTAGATATTCAGATTTAAACAAAAATGTGTAGAGGTTTTTTAACTCGAAACCCCTAGTTTAAAGAACTTGTGGGGGGAAGAATGTTTATATGTGTGTTTTGGAAAGTCAATGTAGCCTAGTGATTCAGCTAGTAAAGGCAATGTAGCCGAGTGATTCAGCTAGTAAAGGCAATGTAGCCGAGTGATTCGGCTAGTAAAGGCAATGTAGCCGAATTATTCGGCTAGTAAAAGTAATGTAGCCGAGTATTTCGGCTAGTAAAGGCAAGGGGGCCGAGTGATTCGGTTAGTAAAAGCAAGGGGGCAAAATTACCAAATTCTATTCTAGCTAAAATTCCCGGCATTGCCCGTGGGATTTAAAAAATCGAATGTTAAAAGAACAAATTTCGAATTTTTAAAGAAATTTTCAATCACGGTACATATTGTCCACTAACGTCATAGAGAATAGAATATATAGAGAGGAATTTACTAGAAAAAAGTGTAAAACAGCCATTTTTTTGTACTGTTTCCATACTGCAGGTGTACTTCACATATGTATGCTATATAACCTGTTGGGCCCTGGAATATATGCTTTCAATATTGCCCGAGATATGAAGAATTTCGTTCAGATTTCGACAATTTTGCTTTTATTTAGCAAAATTGAAATCTGAACCGGACTCTTTATATCTCCGGTAATATTGAAAGCACAAAAAACGCAGACCACTTTTTGGAAATGCCAGGGCAAGGAGAATTATGTGATAATTGTTTCAAGAATCATGCATGTTAAAGTAGATAGAATAATAAATGTCAAAAATAAATTCAAATATCAAAGACGACTTTCAATTCGTCTTGCTATTGTCATGTTTCGTGGGACACCCTGTAGTAAAAAATCCATTGAAAAATTGTCAAGACGACATTTGATAAATTCTTTCGATGTATGGCTCATTTACGATTTAACTGTGCTAACAATAAAAAGCTGCAGATATTTAGCATAATTATATGGAGCTCTTTCAAAATGTAATCAGCAAATTTTATTATTACTGAGATTTAGGTATGATAATATAAAGTCCATTGGAAATTTTCATGACGACATTTTATTAATTCGTTCAGTCGTGGTGGGTTAAACTGTAGGAAACCCAAATCTTACTCTAGGAGATGGTTGAGAAGAAACCAGAGATTAAAGTGGAATTCGACTCGTCCCAGCAAGATATCTCCCAGAAACAACATCTTCTGGATGTTGATCAAGATCAAGATCATCTCTCTCAAGATCAGGATCATCTTCCTCATGATCATGATCAGGATCCCTGGAAATCTACTGCATCCTTTTCTCTATATCAGCAGATTATGGAGAATAATCAGAATAAAGGTTTATCAATAGAAATATCAAAATTCTTTAGTTTTATTTTCTGAACAAAAACTTACTATCATTTTATTTATTGTTATCATAATCATCATCATATAATTTCGTAATTCCTGGTAAAAAGTATTTATGAATTATCTAAAAAATAATAATTGAAAACTGATAAAGTGTGTCCCAATAAACATGGGAATTAAATGACGTCTTTGTTTCATACGGAATTATTTCTTAAGCATTTCCAAAATGTGGTCTACCATTTTTTAGCCTTCAAAATTGACGGAGATATAACAAAACTGTTCAAATGTTTAATATCTCCGTCAATTTTAAAGATACAGAGAAGGTTGGCCACATTTTTGAAAGCTCTTTAGACTTCCTTTTTTAACACCATTTATGTCATAGGCGATTATATCAATACAATGGAGACGACTTTCGAATTCAATTTTGATTTAAATAAAGGTGTTAAACAGCTTAGTTGTCAAGAGAATTTATCACTTCAAAAAAAATTCACATTTTTTATTTTCAAACTTTGTATCCGAAAGAAGCTTGTTAACCATCAAAACTTAAATAAAAAGCCGTCTTCGTTGTAGTGATATAATTGCTTACCACCGTATACACCCTGTTTAATGATGTGCAGAGAAAAAATGGAACTTACCCCGTTCAGTTTTAAAGGCAATTGTTATTGCGTCCTATATTTTTACTTAACATGTAGATTGTAGGCATAATTTCAAGTTACCTTCATTTCTTGAGGGGCATACCCCGCTTCTAAAGGCAATCTTTAAAAACCTGTGTCTGAGCATCGACGACAGAGTAATCCTTGTGTTTATCTCTAAAATGTTGTTTAAATAACCGTAAAACTGCAGAGTGTACGTTAGTGTACAGTGTGAACTCAACACACCTCCGTTTTTCTCGTAAATCTCGTATATTCTAGCGTTATTTTCAAAAATTCGAATGAAATATGAAAGTTTTATTTTCTACGGTTTCTAGAAAGTAAATTTCTTTATTTTTTAATAAAATGAGCTTGCAGACTATCATTAAACAGTTAGAAGCGTTTCTTTAAATAAATCCTTGATAAGTCAAAGATTTTATAAGTACTGTTGTGAGCCGACAAGCCACTTTGTAAACAAAAGGTCACTTGAAATTTTGCCTACAATCCCTTTAATTTTGAAGGATCTGTGTATGAGAATGAAGGTCGGGAGTGTATAGATGAAACTACTATGGGTGAACTTGATGAATCTTCCCTTCAACAAATAGAAAATATATTATCCCTTGATAATGATATGGAGACCACACAAGGAAATCATAGAAATATCTTTAAATACATTTTAAGAAGTTTTCCCAATTCACTATAATGTTAGTGTTATAAAACCGTAATATTATATTCGCAATAAAAATTGTGAAAAATTTGTGAGATTTGGAACATTTTGTTCAAAGTTTAGTGCAGAATGTTCAGGTTACAAAAATTTGTGAGTTATACTTAGCAGGCTGCTCCTAATTTTGACAAGAGTTTTGCAATTTGGAAATTCTTTAGTCAGTTCAATATTAGAAACAAAATGTTATTAAATTAAAACAAGAGTAGGAATCATTCCTAATAACGGACAGGACACTTTAAAAACTCACAATCTCGTAATGTCGACAGCTCCTGACTTATCATGGCTCACAGCTCCTGACTTATCATGGCTCACAGCTGGCTCATCAAAAATCCGTACAGAACTCATATCCAAATTCTCTAGTAACCTCTTTTTCTGCCAGACTCTCTTTTACACCGTTTTTTCTTTTCTTTTTAAATCTAGATATTTCGAATTTTTAGCTGAAACAGAAGATCTATGTTTTCCATCATCATCTTCCAAGACAATTTCTAAAAATGAGGAAACTAGTTGTGAGGAAAATTTGTCGCGGGCATTGTCCGATTGGGAGGCTACTGTTGGCGATACTCAGTCAAGGATCGGATTAAAAATAAACAATGATGGTTTGAGTTCAATGAACGAGGGATATTTAGACTTTAGAGCAAAGGGGATTAAAAGACCCTCGAGAGGAACTATAATTTCACAATATCTTTCAACGCCATCTTAAATACCTTAATCTAGCAAAAAAGAAAAATACATTAAAGTTTTGATTTGATACAGGGTGTCCAACGAAACATGACAGTTTGTGAATAGTATCTTCCATATGCTGTATTATATATTATAGACTTTTTGCAGTTTATTTAGCTTAAAAAATCTTTTACTCAAATGTATTTTACTTTGAAATCAATTTTACTATAATATGGCTGGCATAAAATTTTTTTTATTATTCTCTTGGGGTTCAAACAACTTAACAAACTGTCATGTTTCGTGGGACACTCTGTAGAATCTAAAAATCCGCTGTAAAATTTAATTTGAAGAATTAAAAAAAGGGTAAAAGTTACAGCTTTTAATACAGAACTTCGGAGTCATTGAAAAATTTTTATAAAATGTCATTTTGATTTTTTATAATCTAGTGATAGTTTTTTCCGACATGAGGATAGTTTTTTGAGGATTAACTTTTTTCAAATAAACAAATAACCCTGAATAGTTTGAAAGAGCTCTATATAATTATTCAGTATATTATCTGAATACAGGGTGTGAATAGTTTTAAATGTCTTCTTCCTTAATTTATACAGTTCTTATGATGCCAAACAGAGTACTAAAAAACATCACATGGTTGTTATATTATGGTAAAATTGATTTGAAGTAAAATATATTTGAATATGTGTTTTTTAAATAAACTGCAAAAAAGTCTTTAATATCTTATGTAGTACGGAAGAATACATTCAATACTATTTACCAACTGTCATGTTTCTTGGGACACCCTGTATCTGCGGCATTTCATTATCAATAGGATAAGAAAATTACATTTTCTGAATTTTTTTAGAAGTCTCCCGAGTACTTGGTTTAACTGTAACAAGTTAAATATTCAGTAAGATCAAAAAAAAAATTTCAAATGCTAAAATGTTAAATATTTCGATATTGGAGTGCTATGATTTTTTTTATATTAAATCTCTAAAAATTTGAATTATTGAATATATACCTACATATAAAAAACACTGGTTGGTTGGTAAACTGTTATTTTCTACGTTTTTTATAAAATATATTTTTGTAAATTAATTTAAATTTTGTGAATGAGCTTAAACGTAAACTTTTATACAAATAATTATATTCAAATTATAACAATTATCCAGGCTTTTTACTCAGTACAATAATAGTTATATTTTACAGTGATAACCAATATAAAATGGAACTCGATTGTCTTATTAGTTTTTTTAGTATAAATTCCTGAAAAAAATTCAGAGTTTAATTAAAGAGAATGTGCCCGATAAAAACCATCAAAATCCTTAAAGGGAATCATAATAAAGAAAACATAAGACGACAATCGTTCCAGTATTCCTTCATTTCTATGTTCCTAGTTACAGGGTGTCCCACGACAAATGACAGTTGGTGAACAGTTTAGAATGTTTTCTGCCATAATTTGTTAAGTTGATTGATACTAATAATAAAAATATTATATGGGAGCTATATTATAGTAAAATATATTTGAGCAAAAGATTTGTTTGACGAATAAACTGTAAAAATCCTTTAATATCATAATACAGTATTTGTAAGACGACATTCAAAACTATTTATCAACTGTCATGTTTCGTGGGACACCCTGTATTTCCAATTATAAAATCTTTATAAATATTGCATTTATGATTTGAAAAAATTATTTATACGCGTAAATACTATTTGAAGATGTAGCAAAATGTTTTTTTTCGTACGAAATCGAAAATTACATAATCCCTTAATTATTAGAGACTTAGAGTACATCTAAATTTTTAAAAGGTTTGAATTGAAGATTATGAAATCAAAAGTAACTAATTATAGCTGAGAGCCTCTAACGATATCAAAAACATATCCTATAAAATGCTCAATTCTCAATTAATTTACATGCAACTTGTTTAAATGTTATACTTTTATGATTGAAATTCTGTAAAATTATGTAAGTTTTATGAATATATATATATATATATATATATATATATACATAATACATAACTTGTGATTAATATGAAATATTATGATTATTATGAAATTACGGGTTTCTAGTTAATAAGGAACTTTTTTTTTGAAAATTCTGCGCTAAGCCATTTTTTGGGATGCAGAGTTTAGAGTTCAGAACTTTAAAGTTGAAGAAAAAATCTTGGTTTTTTGCAAATTATAAAATTGATAGTTTGTTTACCGGGAAAAAGCATAAGAATCATATCTGAAAAAAATCTGAATTAATTTAAAGTGTTCACGATCTGCAGAATTTACAACTTTGAAGTATGAAATATATATAGATGCAGTATAAGTTTGTTGAGTCCGGATTAATCTACTTTATATTGCTGCAAGGCATGAAACATCATGTATATTGAGATCCTGAAATATATTGAATTGTTTTAATTTAAAGCTGATAAGTAAGTAAGTAAGTAATTATTCTTACCGCATTTTTTCCTGCATAACTTAACTATGACTCCTCCTATCAGAAGGACGCTAACTTACCTGTGTTTGTATAAAATGCCTTCTTTTTGAGCGAAAATTTTATGTTTTTTTAAAAAGAAAATGGTATTGAAGGTTTTAAAAGCTAGTTTTTGTACATTTTCTTTACACTTTTCAGATTATTAAATGCCTTTTTTTCGAAATTAGAAAATGTAAATACTTTCAAACTAGAGGTTTTTGCAGTAGTGAGATTTGAAATTCCAAAATGAGAATATATAATTTCAACTTTTATTTTCAAACTCTGGTATTGGCGGTAGTGAGATTTCAAA